TCCTATCTCCAATAAACCACCAGAAAACCGGAAGTGGCGCTGTAGCTCAAGTGGTAGAGCGCTCGCCTTGAGCTGAAGAGCTGAAGGACAGCGCTCAGGCCCAGAGTTCAAGCCCCACGATCGACAAAAAAAAAAAAAAAACCATAGCTATAATATACGTTATTTAAAATGTGAATTGAGCCACCAAAAAGGCAGATGACAGTAGAACTCTGGCTCAAGTGGTAGAGCATCAGACTTGAGTGAAAAAGCCAAAGGACAGTGCCTAAGCCCTGAGATCAAGCCCCAGGACCAGCACCAAAAACAAAACAAAACAAAACACCACAAAAGTGTTTTATTTCTGGAAGTTTCCATTTACTGTTGGACTCTGAGTAACCAAAACCACAAAACCTCAGACTTAGGACATGATAACCTAAAGGCAGCTCGGAGCACCTCCAATGCCTCATGAGTACCCAGGCTCCCGAGGACAGGTGAGGCCGCGCACCGTAACCCAGTCCCTTCCTGCTTCTTGGTCCCTGGTCCCCCACCCCACAGCACAGGCTAGAAAACTTGCCAAGGTGGGAACTGAAAAAAATGACAACTATCATAAGGAAAGTGAGCCACAAATCATAACTGAGAGTGTCCTTGGGTTCTGACAGCCTTCTTTTTCTATGTCTTGGGGTCCTGGGATGGAGGCCAGGGCCTGGAGCAGGCCAGGCAAGTGTGCGGCCATGGTTCTTATATCTGTCAGCCCAGAGCCTGTGGTTGTTAGGAGCCACAAACATTCCCCTTCCTCTACATCCTCTCCCAGAGAGGACCCTGCTTCCTGCTCACCCAAGGCCTCCCACCCCATGGCCTTCTCGCACTCTCTCCCCAGGATGCCCCCTACTTAGACCTGGCCCCCTACATGCCTGATTACTATAAACCTCAGTACCTACTGGACTTCGAAGAGCGCCTTCCCAGCTCAGTCCACGGCTCAGACAGCCTCTCCCTCAACTCCTTCAACTCTGTCACTTCCACCAACCTAGAATGGGACGACAGCGCCATCGCCCCATCTAGTGAGGGTAAGTGCCCAGGGCAGAAAGGAGCCGAGGCTCAGCCTCAAACAGACCCAGGAGCTCCGGAGCCCTGGCCAGCCATGCTGGGTGACTTCTGGACTCATTTTGGTCTGGAGGTGGGGATGTGCTGCTGAACAGAGCTGGCCATCCCAGCCCTTTATTTCCATAGACCTTATGGTGGCTGAAGAGGTTTCCAGCTGGGGACCGCTGGCTCACACCTATAATCCTAGCTACTCAGGTGAAGGCTGAGATCTGAGGTTTGTGGTGTGAAGCTAGCCCAGGCAGGAAAGTCTGAGAGACTCTTATCCCTAATTAACTACTCCCAAGAAAGCTAGAAGTAGAGATATGGCTCATAGGTAGAATGCTAGTCTTGAGCAAAAAAAGCTCAGCAATAGCACCAAGTCCTGAGTCAAGCCCCAGGACTGGCATTTAAAACAAAGGGAGGGATTTTCAGGCACAAGAAGCCTGAAAGCAGGAATTTCTGAATGTTGAGTACGTTTCTGGAAACAGGTCCAGGGACTGTTGTCTAGAGGAGTCAGGGTTAGCAGCAGCGTGCCCTGGAAACTTGCCTGACATCGAGGGACTGTTACCTGCTTTGGGGAGCACTTCCTACCCGAGGTTCTGAGAGGGAGGAAGGAGGCTGAGCAAGTCCCGAAAGTAGACATGGAGAGGGTCAAGTCCTCCACCCAAGCTGGTTCCTCAGGACAGCTGACCTAGTACCACGGAGACCAGGAAGACTGTAGGTCATTCTGTTGTCTCATTCCAGCTTTTTTTTCCCCTCCGGTACTGGGCTTTGAACTCAGGGCTTCAGGCTTGCCAGACAAGCAATTTTTTACATGAGAGATGCTCTGTCTAGCAATTTATTAGAACACCAAGGGCTGGCAGCATAGCATGGCTCAAGTAGTATAGCACAAGACACTGAGTTCAAAGCCCAGTACTGTTAAAAAAAAAAAATGGAAAAGCCTGGCGCCGGTGGCTCAGGCCTGTAATCCCAGCTACTCAGGAGGCTGAGATCTGAGGATCGCAGTTCAAAGCCAGCCCAGGTAGGAAAGTCCATGAAACTCTTATCTCCAATAAAGCACTAGAAAACTGGAAGTGGCGTTGTTGCTCAAGGGGTAGAGTGCTTGCCTTGAGCTAAAGAGTGCACGGACAGTGCCCAGGCCCAGAGTTCAAGCCCCACAACTGACCAAATTAAAAAAAAAAATGTGCTAGAGTGGTGGGGCAAGAGGCTCACACCTGTCACCCCAGCTACACAGGAGGCTGAAATCTGAGGATTGCAATATGAAGCCAGACAGGGCAGACAAGTCTGAGAGACTCTTAACTCCAATTAACTATCAGAAGAAATCCGGAGAAGTGGAGGTGTGGCTCAAGTGGTAGACTGTTAGCCTTGAGCAGGAAAGTTAAGCAAGAGCCTGAGGCCCTGAGTTCAAGCCTCAGTAGCAACACACACACACACACACACACGCACCCATGCACGCACGCGCGCGCACACACACACACACACCACAGAGAAGCTTATACAACATCCTGTTTTCTCCCAAACTATGGTGTACATAAAGATGGCCACAGCCCCACTTCATGCCCTGAGAGCTATCCATCTGCTCAGTCCCTTGAGCTCACCTCCATCAGAGGATGTGAACAGATCTTCAGCCTCTGGGCTCCATGGAAAGGCCTAGCATCGAGACCTTACCTCTTACCTCTTCCCTTCTGCTTGTGCCATGAGTCATATGACCCAAAGCCAGGGGGATTCACTTCAGACTTGCTGTCCACAGAATGACATTGCTCATTGTACAACCAGATACCTCAGCCTCTTAGGCTGGCCCATCGGCTGCCAGAGAGTGCAGACACCAGGTCCACTAGTCTCAGCAGCTCAGAGGCGAGAGCAGGACTGCATAGCTTACGAGGCACAGAAGAAATGGAGGTCAGGTGTGTTGGGGAGCAGAGCCCAGGCTTTCCTCTACTGACCAAGTGCTGGATTTAGAGAGGCCTGGCCTCCAGAGGCTTTCCAGCTGGTCAGGAGCCCTGGGCAGCGTCCAGCCAAGCAGCTAAGCACTCTGTCGTTTCCTGTGACATTGACATAGGACATATAGGAAGCTCTTTTCAGGTGGGAATGTGGCCTAGTGGTAATGTGCTTGCCTAGCATGCATGAAGCCCTGGGTTCCATTCCTCAGTACCACATACACAGAAAAAGCTTGAAGTGACGCTGTGGCTCAAGTGGTACAGTGCTAGCCTTGAGCAAATGAAGCTCAGGGACAGTGCCCAGGCCCTGAGTTCATGTCCCAAAACTGGCAAAAAAAAAAAAAAAAAAAGAAAGCTCTTTTCCTTATCTGCTTTCCTCCCCGATCTCCCACCGTTGCCCCACCCTCCTTCCACTGCCCGTGTTTCTAATCCTCAGTTTTGTCCCTCGTTTTGTAGATTATGATTTTGGAGATGTGTTTCCAGCGGTGCCGTCTGTCCCCAGCACAGACTGGGAAGGTGGGATAGAATCCGCTGTCTCCCTCTTCCTGTTCCGCATCATGCCCATGCCAAGCTCGCTGCATGTCTCAAAATCAGCTCCTCCTTATTATTTATAATCACGTCCACGGTCTGGTGTTCTCACAGATGGAATTCTGCAGCAAGGCCTTGCGCTGTAGGCAGCCCCCTTCCCAGGGCAGCGCTGCTGCCTTTGTGCAGGGCTCACAAAGCGACTGTGTTCGGGGCCACCAGAGCTCCCTTCCTGATCCCAATGCCTGCTAACCCCACACCAGAGGTACAGGGAGCTTGTTCTAGAAAAGTGATGGTCCAAACCTGAAGGCTGTAAGCTCCACAGGCTCAGCCAGACAAGCACCTAGGAGAAAGGTGTTCCTCTCAGGTGTTACTGAGAGATCCAGATCTGCATCAGGGGGCTGCACTGGAAAGGTGAAAGGCCCTATAAGGAGATTCTCTTTTTTGAAGTTTTATAGCAAATTAAAATAAATATCTGTCACATTTCCACCCTGTCTTTAGGCAGTGGCCATGCCTGGGGCATTTCTCTGTTGCTATAAACTTATATGAAGCAGTTCACCAGATTGCTATGCCCAGTCAAAGCAGATGCTGAGGTTTTGATAAGGCAAATCTGGTTTTAAAGCCAGGTGCTGGTGGCTCACGCCTGTAATCCTACCTACTCAGGAGGCTGAGACCTGAGGATCATGGTTCAAAGACAGCCTGGGCAGGAAAGTCCCTGTGAGACTCTTATCTCTAATTAACTACTCAAAAACCAGAAGTGGCGCTATGGCTCAAGTGGCAGAGCTTTAGCCTTGAGCTGAAGAGCTGAGGGACAGCGCCCAGGCCCTGAGTTCAAGCCCCATGACTGACAAAACAAAAAAATATCTGGGGATATTCCAGACTCCTTAAAAAGCTTCTGTCAGCCAGGTGCCCATGGCTCAGGCCTGTAATCTTAGGAATTCAGGAGACTGAGAACTGAGTACTATGGTTCGAAGTCAGCCAGTGCAAGAAAGTTCAGAAGACTCTTAACTTCAATTAACAAAAAACAAAAAACCCTGGGAAGTAGATCTGTGGCTTAAATGGTAGAATGCTAGCCTTGAGCACACAAGCTCAGAGATAATGCCCAGGTCCAAGTTTAAGCCCAGGACAGGCACCAAAAAAAAAAGCTATCACCAGGCACTGGTGGTTCATACCTATAATTCTAGCTACTCACCTAGCTACTCAGGAGGCTGAGGTCTGTGGATCACAGTTTAAAGCCAGCCCTGGCAGGAAAATCCATAAGACTCTTTATCTTCAATTAACCACCAAAAAGCCAGGAGTGGAAGTGTAGTTCAATTGGTAGAGTGCCATCTTTAAATGGAAAAAGCTAAAGAATAGCGCCCAGGCCCTGAGTTCCAGCCCCAGTACTAGCTCCCGACTGGGGACCCCCTTCCAGCCTCAGAGGGGTTGTCCTGAGCCAAGGAGCAGAGGGTCCTTGCATTATTAGGGCATGATCTCTGAGCAGTGAGTGACAGACCATCTTTCCCAAGTAATGAGACTATGAAAGTCCCTAACTCTGAGAGAAATAAGATAGAGCACTGGGGGAGGCAGGTTGTGCCAGCTGCCCAAGAGAGCAGCGTGGCGGGGCTCCTTGTCTCAGCTCCATTCGCTTGAAGCCCAGAATTCCATCATGACATCACTTACCCTTGGGCCTCCTGCTGCACACACGGTGGACGTGGGTTCTCCCTGTGATTCTAACTACTAACCCTCCTTGATGAGCCTGGAGGGCGGGGCCTGGCCTCCTCGCAGCCTCAGAACTAACAGCCACATTGCAATGCTTGCTTAGACTGGGCCCCTGAGCAGGGGGAGCATTTTCTCGGCCACAATCTCCTGCTTTCCTGAGTTCTTCAATACCAGCCAAATTCAGCCAAACTCAGCTGGGGCTGCCTTATCTTATCCTGGCTCTGAAAAAAAGCAGGACTTGGGGCAGCTCTAGACTGGGATCCTGGTGGAGGAGGAGGGCCCTACCATGGTCTTTTGGCTCCTCTGAAGAACTGTAGCCATCACCACCTCAATACCCCCACCCCTGGGTCTACGCGCTGCCTCAGGACCCCTCCCATGAAGTGAGCTTCCATGACGCTCCTACAGGCCGCACTCCGTGGAGCCGAAGGGCATGGTTTACTGCCCCTGAGAACTAGGCCCAAGTCCTAATAAATAGGAAGGACCTCATAGGTCACTTGTATTTTCCTGGCAGGGCTGTAATTACCTGATTACTTTTAGCCCCGCCCCTTAGCGCCTTCTAGCAGAAGTAACTTTTTTAATGAGTGGTATGCTGCACCAGCTGGCAGCTGCCAGTGGTTTCCAGGCCCACCGAGAAGTTGACAGCAGGTTGGGCCCTTGCAAGGGACTGGGCAGCAAATAATGGGCATATAGGGCAAATGGAGCACAAGCAGCCTGTCCCCAGGCCATCTACCAGTCAGTGATCATGTGCTTGTCACTGGTGTTCCTTGTCTGGAAGCTTCCAGTGATCTGGGATGGAGGAAGGGTGAGGGGGGCCAGGGAGACCAGCCCCTCTCTGGAAGGGCAGCATCAGCCCCCAGCTCTTGCCAGGGAGAGCCATGGGTGCACTTGTGACCCACAAGCCCGGCTTAAGAAATCCAATTCTCAGAAGCAGCGCTGTGGCTCAAGTGGTAGAATACTAGCCTTGAGCAAAAGGAGCTCAGAGACAGCAAAAAAAAGAAAAGAATGAAATCCAGTTTGAACACCACTCTTACAGGCGCTCCTGATCCTGCCTCTTTAGGACTTGTGAGGGCTGTGGGGAGAGGGGCCACAGGGGTTTGTGAGGGCAGCCCTCACACCCCTCTTCTCTCAGCTCACCCTCGTGGCCCCGTCTGCCTCTCCTGGTGCCTACTCTGTGCTGAGTCCTTCCGCTGGCCCTGTTCTCCCCTCCTCCTGGCCCTTGCCTCAGTCTCTGCTCCCCATTTCCTCTGTTCTTTTCACTTCATGTTCCCTGTGCTCAGGGGCCCTCCAAAGGCCCAGGGAGTGGGGCTGAGGGGCTGCTGGGGTCTGCCATCTGACGGGCTCTAGGGATAGCCTAGAGCCTAACTATTCTTGGGGTCTCCCAGATCCCAAGCTCACCTTACCTGGGGGTGGAGGCGGAGGCGGAAGGATCCACCCTGGATCCCGCAGCATGAACTTGGCCAAACTGTGCAGTTGAAGATAACCCAGGACCAGGCTCCTAAAGCACAGATCTATCCTGTTGTGTTCCATCTTCGGCTCTGGAAGCAGGGCCGCCCTGGTCAGGCTTCCTGGGGAGGAGCTCCCCTGCCTCCCCCGAAACAAGGCATCTTCTAGGGCCCAGACGGCGATTGACTGGCCATGTCCTTCCTCCCTGTCCTTCCAGATGGCGACGTGACGGACACCGTCAGTGGGCCCCGCTCCACCGCCTCAGACGTGGCCAGCAGTAAGGCCTCCACCAAGAGCCCCACCCAGCGCCACAACCCCTTCAACGAGGAACAGGCGGAGACTGTGTCCTCCCCAGACACCACTCCCGTACACACCGTCTGCCAGGAACAGGGGGAGGCCCCGGCCCTGGACCTGCTGGACGCCTGCACGGAGCTGGAGGTCATCAGGTCAGCCGGGAGAGGGTGGAAGGATGGTATCCGCCCATCTCTGCTGGCCTGGTGGTGTAGTCCAGGGTAGATCAGGCCTGCCCAGAGGGCAGTGGAGCTCTTTGGGGAGAGGAGAGTAAGGAGTCGCCTGTCTCGGCCCTGAGACAGTTCTCTGATCCAGGCCAGCAGGGAGTGCTGGTCCTCTGTGAGCCGGTGCCATTGGGTGCCACATGGCCAGTTCCTTGAGAACCTTCTTCCAGAAGGACCCATGTTCTCTTGTGCCTCACACAGACATGGCAAAGCAGGGAATGGCTCGGGTTGATTTTTTTTTTTTTTTTTTTGGTCAGGCATGGGGCTTGAACTCAGCCTGAGCACTGTCCCTCAGCTCTTCAGCTCAAGGCGAGCCCTCTACCACTCGAGCCACAGCGCCACTTGTGGTTTTCTGGTGGTTTATTGGAGATAAGAGTTTCACGGACTTTCCTGCCCGGGCTGCCTTTGAACCGGGATCTTCAGATTTCAGCCTCCTGAGTAGCTAGGATTACAGGCATGAGCCACCAGCGCCCAGCCTCAGGTTGATTTTTATGAGGGCGCCATCCCTGTTGGGGGGCAGGTGGACAGGCAGTAGCTGTTTCTGGCCCAGGGGCCATTTTGTGTGGTCCACCCAAGAGCAGAAAACTCTCTCTGCCCAGAATCTTCCCTCGGGAGTTCTTGGATGTCAGTGCACAATTTCTGAGATTGGCGCCAGGTCTAGCTCAGCACAGGACACAGATGGGTGGGAGCAGGTGAATGACAGTTGTGGATTTTGGCTAGAGTCTCCTCAGCTCCTTGACCCTGCTTTTGGAACTGTCCACACCAGCTGACAGGAGAAGCCTGTGTGCCCTATCATATTTGCTGGCCCTGGGCAGGTGCCCAGCTCCCCAGGTCCGGACCCCGGTTAAAGAATAAAATGGTTCTAATGGTTCCTCATCTAGTCAACCTGGAACCCGAGAGTAGGGACAGGACTTAGAGCCCCAAAACTTGGAGTGCATTTCTGTGTATTTTCCCATTAGACTCAGTACCCTGAGAGGAGGGCTGCACAGAGCTGGTTGTTGGTCAATCAACCATGGTGGCCTGCTTTTGTTTCCTCGACAGACAGCTCAGGTTTTTGTTTTTGAGACAGGATCTCACTACTTAGCCCAGGCTGGACTTGAACTCATGATCTTCTCACCTTAGCCACCCAAGTGCTTAGATAGTGCGTATCACCATGCCCAGCTTCTGAGTTGCTTTGGTGCCAGTCCTGGGGATTGAACTCAGGGTCTGGGCGCTGTCCCTGAGCTCTGTTGTTCAAGGCTAACACTACCACTTGAGCCACAGCACCACTTCCAACTTTTTTTCCACAGTTAATAGGAGGTAAGAGTCTCACAGACTTTCCTGCTCAGGCTGGCTTTGAACTATGGTCTTCATATCTCAGCCTTCTGAGTAGCTAAGGATTACAGGTGTGAGCCCCCGGCACCCAGCTGTAGCTGAGTTTTATCAGCTGGAATTAGTGGGATGTGATTAGGACCTGTGGCTATTGCCTCAGCCCATGCCCCCCACCTCTGCCAGCACAGGGACGTTCCCAGGACCTGTGCGTTCTCAGCCAGCCTGATCCCCCTTGTCCTGGGATCTTGGGTGTTAGCGCCCCTTCTGTCACTGCCATCTCAGGGTTACCAAGAAGAAGAAAGCTGGCAAGAAGAAGAAGCCCAGGTCAGATGAAGAAGCAAGTCCACTACACCCAGCCTCCAGCCAGCAGAAGTGTGCCAGGCATGGGGACAGTGACAGCCTTGTCAGCAGCCCAGGCCTTGGCCGGGACTCCCCAGACACCACCCTGACCTCCCCGCAGGAGGAGGGAGTGGGGCCTAGCAGCACGGCCGAGAGCAATGAACACTCAGAGCTCGGCCACATGGACTTGCTCATCCCCGAGATGAAGGACACCTCCATGGAGCGCCTGGGACAGCCCCTGAGCAAGGTCATTGACCAGCTCCACGGCCAGCTGGACCCCAGCACCTGGCGCTCCTACGCAGAGCTCCCAGACCAGTCCTTTCGGACCCGCTCTCCCGGGGAGGCCCCGGAGAAGGCAGCATTTGGCGACCTTAGTGAGGGGCTTCCAGCCCCCATGGACTTCTACCGCTTTACCGTCGAGAGTCCAAGTGCTGTTACATCAGGTGGCAGCGACCATGACACTGCAGGGCCTGGCCAACCGCTGCATGTTCCTGGTAGCCCTGCGATTGCTAGCCAAGAAGAAGGAGGAGGAGGAGGAGGAACAGAGGGACAGGCACAAACGGAAGCTCAGCCAGAACCCCAGGAACTGGACACCCAGTCACCCCTGACCAGCGAGGAGCCTGTGCTCCAGCCAGTGTCAGGGACCCAAGAGGCTCTTTGCCAGCTCAAGCGAGACCAGCCCAGCCCGTGTCTGAGCAGCGCTGAGGACTCTGGGGTGGACGAGGGCCAAGGGAGCCCTTCTGAGATGATGCATTCCTCAGAGTTCAGGTGAATACTGTCCTCTGCCACTGGCACCAAGCTAGGCTCTGTGTGTGAGTGTGTGTGTGTGTGTGTGTGTGTGTGTGTGATGCTGGGACTTGAATTCAGAGCCTGGGTACTGTTCTTTAGTTTAGTTTTATGTTTTTCTGTTGGTTGTGGGGTTTGAACTCTGGGCCTGGGCGCTGTCCCTCAGCTCTTCAGCTCAAAGCTAGCGCTCTGCCACTTGAGCCACAGCGCCACTTCCAGCTTTTTCTCTTTATGTGAAGCTGAGGAATCGAACCCAGGGCCTCATGCATGCGAGGCAAGCACTCTACCACTGAGACACCTTCCTAGCCCTGTTTGTTTGTTTGTTTTGTCGGTTGTGGGGCTTGAACTCTGGGCCTGGGCGGGTGCTGTCCCTGAGCCTCTTCAGCTCAAGGCAAACGCTCTACCACTTGAGCCCCAGCACCACTTCTGGTTTTCTGGTGCTTAATTAGAGATGAGTCTCAGAGACTTGCCTGCTTGCACTGGCTTTGAACGGCGATCCTCAGATCTCAGCCTCCTGAGTAGCTAGGATTATAGGCATGGGTTACTGGCCTCGGCTCACGAGTTCTTGAAGCAGAAGACTGGGCCCTCTGACCTCCCAGCAATGAGGCACAGCTGGCGGATGACCTGGCTTGGAGGGGGAGGTGGAAAGACATGTGGCCCCAGCCCAGCCTGATCTCCTATCCTCCCATGCCTGTCCCTCTCACAGAGTTGACAACAATCACTTACTCCTGCTGATGATCCATGTGTTTCGAGAAAATGAAGAGCAACTGTACAAAGTGAGTGCCAGGAACTCCTGCAAGAGACACGGCAAGGCCAGGCAGGGTGGGCCCAGCCTTGCGCAGCGGGGCATGCCAGGCCTGACTTCTGCTTGCTTTGGGCTCTCAGATGATCCGGATGAGCACGGGCCACATGGAGGGCAACCTGCAGCTGCTGTACGTGTTGCTCACAGACTGCTACGTCTACCTGCTTCGGAAAGGTGCCTGCCACCCCAGGCCAAGAGCAGGTTGAGGTTGAGAGTCCCATCCCCCCTCTCCCCTGCTAGCTGAGCCTGGGGACCTGGCTCCTGTGGGTATTTTCTGTCATGCTGCCACCCTGTCATCTGATTACAGGACAAAATAGGTCCTCTCTGCTTAGAAAATGGGGCCGGGGAGGGAAGCCAGCAAGGTAATAGGCATTGGGGTCTCCTCTCTCAGGGGCCACAGAGAAGCCATACCTGGTGGAAGAGGCCGTTTCTTACAATGAACTTGACTATGTGTCGGTGAGTGCGGGCTCCGCAGTTAGGGGTACCCGCTGTAGGTACAGGGGTACCACCCACCCCCTTGCTACAGAGCAAGGCACATCCCAGGGCTGGGTATCCACAGGATTCAGTTCCTGGACGTGTGCTGGGTGCAAGAGCCAAGTGTGAGATTGCCTCTCCTTGCACCAGATTTCCAACCACCCACCCCTACCTCATGCTGGGCCCCAGGCCTCGGGGGACCTCACCCCATGGTGTGCTCTCCAACCTCCCTGGTCCTAGCCAGCATTCGGTCTGGCCATGACGCCCCTTCTGCCAAGCAGTGGCCAAGCCCTGTATGGTTTCCTCCAGGTCGGTCTCGACCAGCAGACGGTGAGGCTGGTGTGCACCAACCGCAGGAAGCAGTTTCTGCTGGACACAGCTGATGTGGCCCTGGCTGAGTGAGTGTCAGTCTCGCCCCTCAGCAGCATCCGCTTTGGTGGGGCTGGGGGTGGAAGGTGTAAAATGGGAGACCCGCAGTGGACAGCACACATCTCTCTAGAGTCAGCAGTCCGGCCAGAGATGCTGGGGAGGGGACAGTCACCCATGGACTGACTCACATTTGTCTCAGTGACCTAAGCCCCTGCTGACCTACAGAGAGGAAGGAACGGCGTGAGGGCACACGGGGCCTGCTGTGCCAGGCACTACCTCAGATGCTGTGCGAGATCACAGCATCATGTGTCCATGGGATCCCACTGACCATTACCTATACCATCTGAGCACTGAGCGCCATCTCCAGCTACGCCCCTCCCCCAGGCTCTGCGCCCCATCTCCCGGGGCACAGGGCTTATCCTCAGGCCTCTGACAGCAACCCCCATCCCTGGCACAGGTTCTTCTTGGCTTCTCTGAAGTCGGCCATGATCAAAGGCTGCCGGGAACCACCCTACCCCAGCATCCTGACTGATGCCACCATGGAAAAGCTGGCACTGGCTAAATTTGTGGCCCAGGAATCCAAGTGTGAGGTGGGCAGGCAGCGGAGGAGGCAGCTGGGAAGCAGTCTGAAGAGCTGGGGTGGTCAGCCGTGGTTGATGGCTGGGTGAAGCACAAGGCGTCTAGCCTGGGCCTGTCCCCCTGCCTCCCGGCTGTGTCCCAGGCTGAACACCCGTGCCTGGAGCGGGGCTGGGGGGTTGCCGAGTCCTGACCCAGCGCCTGCCTGGCCAAGCCTCACCTGCTTCACCTGCTGTCCCCATCGCCAGGCCTCCGCAGTGACTGTGCACTTCTACGGGCTCGTGCACTGGGAGGACCCCATGGATGAGTGCCTGGGCCCCATGCCCTGCCACTGCTCACCCCCAGAGGGCGCCATCACCAAAGAGGGCATGCTGCACTACAAGGCGGGCACCTCCTACCTGGGCAAGGAGTACTGGAAGACTTGCTTTGTGGTACTCAGGTGGGAGCCCCCACAGCCCCAAGTGGAGCGGGGGTTGGCAGTCAGGGAACTCTGGCTGGTCACAAGAAAGGCCCAAGGGAGGCTTTCCCTTCTCCACAGGGCATTGGGGTACACACCCAGGATGGAGGGGTTCCTTTGGGCCCAGACATCCTCAGGTACTCAGATGAAGACCTGGGCTGCTGGACCTGGTGTCCCAGGTCTACTGAGGGCCAGCATTCCCAGCTGTCCCTCTCAGCCCTTCCTTGGCTTGCTTTCCTTCTGGGGCACCCCTGGGATCTGGCCTCCAGTTCCTTGGCTGGATCTCACCCGCTGTGCTGCACCCCACAGCAATGGGATCCTCTACCAGTACCCTGATCGCACGGATGTCATCCCCCTGCTCTCCGTGAACATGGGGTGAGTGACCCCCCATGGCGTGCTGGGCGGGGCTTGGGGCCAGATGCCTGCCTGGTCACCAGCTTTCATCTCCCATCTGGGATGGCTGTTCCCCTGTGGTTTCTACCTGCTCCTTTCCCTCCTCCTCTACCCCTCCAGCCCTGACCGGTGCCCTGGGATTTGCGGAGCTCTGCCACAAGGCATCATGGGGAAGGGCGGAGGAAGAGGTGTTGCTCCCCTGGACAGAGTACAGGAGCCAGTTCACACCTGTTCCCTGCTCAGGTGTGGGTATCTAATGGGAGCTTGTCGATTCTCGACGTTAAAGGTGTTTGACAGAAAGGGCAGGCTTCAGGCCATCCGGAAGCCATCTGAGAGCCAGCAGACCATGAGTCCACGGGTCTCCGGCCCACCCCCGGGGCTCCCACACTGGCCACCGCTGCCTCCTGTGCCTCCTCGCTCCCATTTCACCCTCCTCCTCTGGCCCAGGGGGGAACAGTGCGGTGGCTGCCGGAGATCCAACACCACGGATCGGCCCCACGCCTTCCAGGTCATTCTTGCCGACCGACCCTGCCTGGAGCTGAGTGCCGACAGCGAGGTTGAGATGGCCGGCTGGATGCAGCACCTCTGCCAGGCTGTGTCCAAAGGGGTGGGTGTCTCAGCCCCCACCGCCCCCAGCGCCCACCGCCCCCAGCGCCCAGCCCCCGGCGCCGGCATCACTCACAGAGATGCCTGTGAGGACGGAGATTGGGGCCCCCGTAAAGGGCAACTGGGGAACAGCCTGGAGTGCGGTGCAGCCTGTGGTGGGGACCACTCCCTCCTCACCCTCTTCCCACCTACGCTACTAAGGTGGACAGAGGTAGCCAGACCCCCAGAGGAGGCAGTGTGCTGGCACACAGCACCCTGGGAAATGCCCTCTGCCACTCCTGCCCCCTTCCTATGTCTAGGTCATCCCTCAGGGGCTTGCACCCAGCCCCTGTGTCCCTTGCTGCCTGGTGATCACTGAGGACCGCCTCTTCACGTGCCACGAGGACTGCCAGACCAGCTTCTTCCGCTCCCTGGGCACAGCCAGGCTGGCAGACGTCAGTGCCGTCTCCACAGAGCCGGGCAAGGAGTACTGTGTCCTGGTGAGCTGGCGGGATGGAGGGGCTGGTGGGGCTAGGGGCTGGTGAGATAGGGGTGCAGGCCCTGCAGAGAGCTGTGTCCATCTGCTCACCTCAGCTCCATCTCCCCAGGAGTTCTCTCAGGACGGCCCACAGCTGCTCCCACCCTGGGTCATCTACCTGAGTTGTACTTCTGAACTGGACCGCTTCCTGGCTGCACTGAGCTCTGGGTGGAAGGCCATCTACCAGGTACTGACTCCCTCTTGGGAAGGGTCGGTGCCAGCAGCTCAGGGACAGACACAGGGGTAAGCCCTGACTCCTACTGAGTCTGTGACAAGAGCTGAAAAGGATACCAGGAAGTGTCAACCAAGAAGGGGGAGGAGGGGCGCCTGGGAAGGTGACTCAGCGGTAGAGTGCTTGCCTTGCATGCATGAGGCCCTGGGTTTGATTCTTCAGCACCACAATAGCAGAAAAGGCCAGAAGTGGCACTGTGGCTCAAGTGGTAAAGCACTAGCCTTGAGCTGAAGAGCTGAGGGACAGTGCCCAGGCCCAGAGTTCAGGCCCCACAACTGGCAAAAAAAAAAAAAAAAAAGCGGGGGGGTTGTACATAGTACTCACTCAGATGGGGATACAGACTGGCAGGACCCTCCTCTGCCTGGAGCTAACTGGAGTGCCAGGGAAGGGCTCTTTCACCTGGAGCCTGGGCCTCTGATCACAGTATCTGGGCACAAGCCTAGGGCAAAGACAGGACAAGACACGCCACGCAGCGGCACTACTGAGAAAGGACAGGGCCACTCTTAGTTGAGGCTGAGAGTGAGGCCTTCCCCTCCTGCTCCACCCCTCCAGCAGCCCGGGACCCCACCTCCTGGCCCTAGGAGCCCTCATGTTTCCCACTCACCCCAACACAGGTGGACCTCCCCCACAAGGCGATCCACGAAGCCTCCAGCAAGCAGAAGTTCGAGGATGCCCTTAGCCTCATCCATAGCGCGTGGCAGCGGAGCGACAGCCTGTGCCGAGGCCGAGCTTCTCGAGACCCCTGGTGCTGAGGTGGCAGGTGGCATCCAGGAGGGCGGGGAGGGGCCACAGCTGACCAGCAGACACACTGTTGTGTGTCATCATGCTGTTCAGGAGCCCACCCACTCTTGCCCGGGGGCAGACCCACCCACCCCCAATGTGGCCTGAGACCGAGTCTCTCCACTCCCAGGGATCCAGAGTGGTGCCCACTGGACATCATGTCCGGTGGGCCGCAGCTTGCGGTTGCTGGGGGCAAAGGTCTGAGCCCCGTGGGCTCTGCAGACATGCTCTGACCACCCTGGGTCCCTGCCTCGGTTCTGGCCATGGAAATGATGCCGTCTAAGGAAGAGGGAAAGAAGCAGGAGGACAGGGGCCCCCTCCTCTCCTGGGTCAGGAGCCTGGGCAGAGGCTCAGGGCCCCCTGGGGGTCCTGAGTGCCCGGCCGTCCTTGTTCGTTTTTGAACACTCTCCCAGCTGTGTAGGGAAGCGGGAACACTAGGTGTCTGCATGCTTCCTCCTCACCAACCCACCACACGTTGCGGCCTGCCTCTGGAAGGCTGCCCAGAGGCCCTGCATGCCCAAGGCCCTGCCCTGCCCTGCCTCTCCTCCATCCTTTGGAGCCTACCTAGGGCCCAGGAGCGAAGTGGGGAGAGGAGAGCAGAGCCACGCTGACATCTGACTGTCCCTGACCTGGCTGGAGCTGGCCCTTCCTGAGTGCTTTGTCTGAGCCCTTGAGAGCAGGGGGCAGGTGGTCTGGGGTTTGTTTGTTTTTTTTTTTAAATAAAATAGATATGTTATATTGCCAAGATTTGTCACTGGCTCTTTTTGAGCAAGATGGGGATGAGGGGTCTCCAAACCCTCCATCATCTGCTCTGTGCTCCCACAACAGACACACAGATTCACCGCCAGGGCCTCTATCATCCGCTCCCATTCACAGCGCTGGGCTGGCTTGAACCAGGAAGTCCCTCTTCATACAAAGGCCCTGATTTGTCCACTTCTATCCCACCCAGGAATGAAGTATTCAGAAGAGCAAGGGAAAAGTGGTAGGAGCTGGTGGCTCACACCTCTCATCCTAGCTACTCAGGAAACTGAGGTCTAAGGATCATGGTTCAAAGCCAACCTGGGCATAAAAGTGCCCAAGACTCTTATCTCCAATAAAAGCCGAGTGAGAACAGGAGGTCCTAAGTCCAAGCCTCAATACAGGTGCACATGCGCGCACACACACACAACCAATCAGCAGCCCCTAATCAGCATCACCTTCCATAGTTCAGGTCAGTGGCCGTTCAAAATATGGAAATGGGAAATTCCAGAAACAAGCAAGTGAGTTTTAAACTGTGCCCCACTCTGAGTAGTGAATCTATGATGCCAACATCCCTCTGTCCAGCATCTCCCTGTTGTGTACCTGGCCCACCTGTTAGTACTGTGGGGGTGTGGCAGTACCTGTGTTCAAGTGGCCCTTACTGAGTGGTAGTCCCAAAGCCCTGACAATCTAGACATGCCAGAGCAGCCAGGAAGTGGGTCCTGGAAATGAAAACCTGAAAGTGCTCTACTTAAGGAGAGAGAAGGAAGTCATAGGCTGTGCTTGCTAAAATTTGCAAGAACTAAATAGGGAAAGTAGGCAGTTCCAGGAACCCACTCACTGGGATCCCATACAGATCCCGCCCTCTGGGGGCACAAATGGAAGACTCAAGCTCAGAAAGGAAGTGACTGGGCACGGTCCCATGCTCCTAGGATTGAGGGGTGTAGTTCAGTAGCGAGGGCCTACCTGGCATGCTCAATGTCCTGTGTCCAGTCCCAGCACCACCAAAAGAGCAAAAGCAAAAAGCAGAATACCTCTGCAGGGCTCCAGCGCCTTGCTCTTCCTTTGCTGTTGCTGAACATAGAACCACAGCTTTTGGAAGGCTGAGGCCTGGGAAGGGCAGTCACACCAATTGCGGCCCAAATGAGACAGTTGCTGAGTTGTTGTGAACCCTGTGCCCAGCCTTGCCAGGACACTTGCCTTGGGCCCAGGGCTCTGAGCTGGAGCAGAACAATGTCTAAAAGGAGAAAAGACCAAAGAAGAAAGAGCTCAACCAGCTAATTAACACCTATTCCCCACCCCCAGTCTTCTTCCAGTCCCAAGTGAACTTTGCCCCAGATCCCAGGGTTCAGGCCCGCCCAGGCCAGAAGCAGCTACGATTGGTCAGAGGTGGAGGAGGCGTGTCCGGGCTCCAGCAGACAAAGCTAAGCAGAGCGCTGCAGGTGGATTTCCAAGACATACCAGGCAGGGCCTATCTGATCTGGACCCCTGTTCTTTCGACATGACCCTTGGTCCCTGCCGTCTCCAGCCCTGTGGCCCTGCGGAGGTACAAGCAGTATAATTCCTGCCATCCTATGGCCCTGACTCCTGGCATGGAGTCTGTGGAGACAGTGCCTCCAGCTGTGGACCTGGTGCTGGGTGCCTCAGCCTGCTGCCTGGCCTGTGTGTTCACCAACCCCCTGGAGGTGGTAAAGACGCGGCTGCAGCTACAGGGGGAGCTGCAGGCCCAAGGCACCTACCCACGGCTCTACCGGGGTTTTGTGGCCTCAGTGGTGGCTGTGGCCCGGGCTGACGGGCTGTGGGGCCTGCAGAAAGGACTGGCTGCTGGCCTTCTCTACCAGGGCCTCATGAACGGCGTCCGCTTTTACTGCTATAGCCTAGCATGCCAGGCCGGCCTCGCCCAGCAGCCAGGTGGTACTGTGGTGGCTGGCGCGGTGGCTGGGGCCTTGGGAGCCTTCGTGGGTAGCCCTGCTTACCTGGTAAGTGCTTTGTCTCCATTCTCTGCCACCCCATGACCCAGCTGCACAGACACTCCAACCACTAACGCTCTGGGATCCTGGATGGGGTGGGGCAGGGTGGGGCCAGAACAGGTGGGGCTACTTCCTGGGAAATCTCTGACTCAGGTGTGTAATCTGCTCTGGGCTCCGGGCACCAGGACCTTTCCTTAATCCTAGATCCCCTGGGTTCCTTCTGGTCCTTGCCTGGGGAGAGGGCAGAGGCTGGCTGGCTGAAATCTTGGATTGACATTTCTCCCTTCTTTGTGGTCTAGTATATGTTCAGAAGAAAAGCCTCTGAGCTGGGCTCTGGTGGCTCGAGCCTGTAATCCTAGCTCTGAAGGCTGAAATCTGAGGATTGAGGACGGGAAAGTCTGAGACTCTTATCTCCAATGAACCACCAAAAAGCCTAAAGTGGAGCTGTGGTTTAAGTGGTAGGGGAACAAAACCAAGTGGGAGCTCAAGGTCTGGAGTTTGAGCCCCAATACCTGCACAAAAAGCACAGCTTGAAGCCAGGTGCTGGTGGCTCATGCCTAATCATTCTAGCTACTTGGGAGGTTGAGATCTGAGAATTGAGGTTCCAAGCCAGCCCAGGCAGGAAAGTCCCTGAGACTCATCTCGAATTAACCACCAGAAAACTGGAAGTGGTGCTGTGGTTCAAAATGGTAAAGAGTTAGCCTTGAGCAAAAAGGCTAAGGGACAGGGTCCTAGCACTGCATTCAAGCCTCACCCCCACAAAAAAAACAACCCCCCCAAAAAAAACAGAGTTGCCTCTAAGCAAGGATCCCAGGTCCTATTAGGGGGCAGGGTACAGCACAGTCATCTTCTCACTCAGTTCTCACTCTAGGAGTGTTAGATTGAGGCTCAGAGTTGGCTGAGGAACTTGCCCCAAGTTCCAGCAACGTGCCAGCCCAGGCCAAACCCAGAGCCTCACCGCCCTCAAGCTTCAGGTTTGGGGCTGGGGCTTCTGGGTTTGGGCTGCTCTCTGCAGGACAGGGGCCTGTACACAGCCACCCAGCTCCACCCCAGACCCTCAGGCCCTCTGCTTTCATAGGTAAAGACACAGCTGCAGGCCCAGTCTGTGGCCACAGTGGTCGTGGGGCACCAGCACCAGCACCAGGTGAGCCCAGGGGCTGTCCCGGGGGGCTGGACTCCAGGCTGGGCTGGGGCTGGCTAGTGATTTGCATCCTCCCCTCCCCACAGAGTGTCCTAGGGGCCTTGGAGACCATCTGGCGACAGCAGGGCCTGATGGGATTGTGGCGAGGTGTGGGTGGGGCCGTCCCCCGAGTCATGGTGGGCTCAGCTGCTCAGCTAGCAACCTTTGCCTCTGCCAAGGCCTGGGTACAGGAGAAACAGGTAAGAGGCCAGGGTGCCTGGTCACCCACACAAATGGGAGCAGGTCACCAGCCTCCTACACGGGGAAGTCCAGGGGAGCTGACAAAGGAGAGCCCTTCAACTAACCAAGTTGTGGCCTGGCCCTTGAGCCCAGCAAGAGTTAGGGATCAGCAGTGACCATGAAGCTGTGGAGGATCTTGGGGTGGCAGGGTAGGGGTGGGAACAGGAAGAGGATCTCATCTGCTACCCATACCAGCCCTTTCCGTGTTGGGGGGGGTAGCCACATGGAGGGTACAGGGCAGAGGTGGGGTCAGCAGCCTATGCCACCCCTACAGTGGTTCCTGGAGGATAGCTGGCTGGAGGCCCTGGCTGGAGGCATGATCAGCAGCGTGGCTGTGGTGGCCGTCATGACCCCCTTCGACGTGGTCAGCACACGGCTGTACAATCAGCCCGTGGACGGAGCAGGCAGGGTGAGCAGGGGTGATGGAGGAGAACTGGAGAGTCGGGGGTCCCCCAACCCAAGCACCTAGCCAAAGGCATGAGGACACATGCCCAGTAGGCAGCATCCCATTGAGACTGTTGCCTGAGTACCTAGGTCCCAGTCATCTGTGCGGAGCTTTTTTTCCTTGCCAGTACTCAGGCTTGAGCTCAGCTAGGATTACAGACATAAACCACGGTACCTGGCTCAAGCATTCTGATATGAAGATTTCTATGTGTGGAGCTGGGAATGTGGCTTAATGGTAGAGTGCTTGCCCTGCAGGTATAAAGCTCTGGGTTGGATTCCTCAGTACCACATAAACAGAAAAAGCCTGAAGTGGCACTGTGGCTCAAGTGGTAGAGTGCTAGTCTTGCACAAAAGAAGCTCAGGGACAGTGCCCAAGCCCTGAGTTCAAGTCCCGGACTGGCAAAAAAAAAAATTGTGTGTGTGCATGTGTGCATGTGTGCACACTGATACTGGGGCCTGAACTCAAGTCCTGGGCACTGTCCATTAGCCTTTTCACTCAAAGATGGCACTCTACCACTGGGCCACACCTCTAATTCAGCTTTTTGTTGGTTAACAGAAGAGTCTCATAGACTTTTCTTCTCAGGCTGTTTTTTTTGGGGGGGGTGGGGTGGGTCCGGTCGTGGGGCCTGAACTCTGGGCCTGTGCGCTGTCCCTCAGCTCTTCAGCTCAAGGTTAGCACTCTACCACTTGAGCTACAGCACCACTTCCGGCTTTTTTCTTTTTGCTTATGTGGTGCTGAGGAA